CTTAAGAAATTTCTTAAATGATTAGTTAATCAAAAGTTCTAATGGTAATTCCAGCTAAAATGAAGAAGAGGCTGAGAGCTGGTTTTCTTATGGAAACTGGTAGAACAGCCTGTTACAAAGCTGCTCTGTCATTTAAGGAGAACAGCTCCTTGGAATTGTTTTATTTGTATTCAAGGTCTGCGTGGAGGAGACAGAAAGACACAGACAGGCAGAACCTGGTGGGGGACGCAGGGGGAGAAAGCTCTGCTGGGACCTGAGCCCAGGCAGGCAGGGCAGCAGGGGAACGCTGCTGAATCCTCAAGTGTGGTTCAAACCAATATGGGCACAACCACTATTTATGTCTTTCTGGGACATTTCATTTCCTCTTCTGCACATCTTAGCATTCATGCGCCACACCAGTTTTCAGGAGTCTGCCACGGGGGGCTGTCGCTGCTCGATCATCTGACGGTTGTGATGTAGTGCCAACTGGCAGCTTCGGGCAAACTTAAGGCACACTTCTGAAAGAGCTTTATTTGATATTCTGCCATTGTGAGAGTATGGGGGAGTAAAGCGGCTGAGTCTGAGCTGATGGCTGACGTTTAAAGTTTCTTTAATCCACTAACCAACGTCTACTTCACCCTACAAGCACTGCAGCGACACTGGATAGAGCAAGAGGCATGCGCTCCTGAGGCCGTCACTTCCCCTCCTCCCTCATGACAAATTAATTCCTATGAAGCATTCAGATGAATTTCGAGGACATGGGTGTACATACTAGATGAGAGCTCTGATGAAATGTCAGGCTGAGCCAAACAAACAGCCCTTCTCGTCCTCCCGGAAAGGCTTCTCAGCTTCACATTCATGCAGATGAGACAGTTCCTCTATGGTACAGGAGTATAGTACAACGGTATTTGGCTGTTGCCTGCAGCAAAGGTCATAAACAGAGGGACTTCTGTGATAGCTCCATCTGGATGAGCTGGGAAACAGACATAGGAGGGTTGAACATTCTGCAGAGAACAAGGAGGCTTTACTACAATCCGCCGAACTGTGTGGCTGCTTCACTGCAGGCCTTCATGCTCTGTTTCAGATTAGCTAGATAACGGCTCGTTACCTCTTGGGAGAAATCCCATCTCATATACAGTAGATATAAAGAGACAGTGATGTAGGAAAGTCATGTGCAGAGTTTAACTAAATGAGGACAATGATTTATGAATCTCCACCTCCACAAACCTCCAACATAGAAAGGATGCCCTTGCTGAATATTATTCTCTTTAGTTGTATGAATAGAATGACGTATTTTATCTTATGCTGCTTGTAATTCAGAGGCAGAGCCAACAAAATGGGAAATATAACTTGGTTCTCACAGTGCAGTCACTCATGTCCCAACATATCAACTGCATTTCTATAGGTAGGTATCTATAAAGCCAGCATCGCTAGACATTGTTAACCATTTCATTTGGCCAAGATTCGATATATTGAAATTAATCAACCCAAAGTTTAAATATTCCAGTACTTTCATATAGATATCTCCATCGTTACTAAACTTAACAACAATGAAATGTGAGAAAACCCTCAGTGGCTTTCAGTGTAGAATTTCTCAAATGTATTTCTTATTCACACTGACTGACACCATGGTTGTGCTGTGTGTCTTCGCACCAAGTCATCGCTTTCTAATCCTCTCTTCATCTCTTTTCTTAACCTCAGTACCCATTCACCACCCAAAATGCCCAATCCGTGAAACAGAAGCAGACCCCTCCTTTTGGGCAATGAGTCGCTTCTGTAGTTGAGAAAATTCTCCTTTAAACTGCTTATAATGGAGCCTATAAGCCCTGCAGGCTGCCAGTAGCCTGGGAGGACACCAAGGGTGTGAAACACACTGTCAAAATACGACTAAAAGCCTGTGTCTCACACTTAAAACGGCAAATCTGAAAGTTTACAGGAGGTTAAGACAGGATCAAAGCAAGAGCCTTAAACTTCCTAAAAAGCCATAAGCCAATGATCCAGTCAACTGAGCTGTTCCAAACAGGTACCAAAATATAGTTTTTTTTAGATGTAAATAACGGCAGCAAGCTCCTTGCATTTTGTGCGTCTTTAACGAGGATTAAAACAATAATGTAATAGTGTTGTGGCTGCCTGAATTGTTCTGGTTCCAAAGGAGCAGTAAAAAAGGAAAATGTCAGCTCAGCTGTGACTCTTACTACACCACATACAACTTTTTCACTCAAGCTCAACCTTCTTACTGGCCGTAATATAAGCCCCAATCACAAACCTGGTGTTTAATGCAACGCTGAAACAATCAATCATTCTATAAATATATTAATCGATAAGTTATCAACAAATATCTGGAATATATTAAACCTTTAAGTCAGCTGTCAGGTAAAAATGCCGGTCGCTGGTGCCAGCTATTCAAACGCTTCCCGCAGATTTATATCATTGTAAATTAAATATCTTGTTAAGTCTTTTTTATTTATCTAGCTCAGTATCACGAATACCAAATGTGTTTCAGGGGGCTTTAAAGTCTGTACAGCATACAACACCCTCTGTCCCTAGACCCCTGACCGTAAAGAGATCCCTTATTAATCAGTGTAAGTGATGGGGTATGAAGTCCACGGTCCTTCTGTGCAAAAATGTCTTTATTGTACAACCTGTTTTTTTCAGCGGAGCTTCCTTGCTGAGCTCCAGCGGTGGGGCAGTAACACAAAGAGAGAATTTAATTAAAGGCTTTGAAAGATAACTTTGGTTTTACACAGAACAAGGACTGTGGACGTCCCCCATCATTTTCAGAAGGGATCTCTTCGCAGCCTTTGTAGACAAGAAGAACAATTACAAAGGCCAGATGTTTCAATATGCATCTGGACATTGTTTAAGTCTGACAATGTGAGCCTGGAGGTTTAACATTATGAAGACTTTATCTCATCTCTTCTTTCAGACACCATATGAATTATTTATGCAACAACTCACATTGAATCATTCAGAAAAGTATCTTTCCTTGGATTATTGATTTAAAGCCTGTAAACAATTCTACAGTAATTCTAAAGTGAACACTCCGGTTCCACCATCCAGGCTGAAAAACAAGGGTTGACCAATAACCCTGCGTTTGTCCTGGTTTCTGCATCTGTCTGAAAGGAGTTCGATTCAGTGTAGAGCATCAGCTCAATGCTTCAGCAGAGCATCACTTTCCATCATCTGTGCATTAGGACACACAGCTGAAACGCCACTGGGGTTTTTACAGCCCCTGAGGACTTCAGGCTTTTCAAAAACCAGAAAAGCTTTTTGCTTTTCTTCCTGGCAGTTTCTTTGTTCCTCTCAAAGTATCTCTATTTAAGGGTCTGCTTCCTCTGACCTCCGAGAACCCCGTGTCCACATTCCTAAACCAGTGAAAGTGTCTGACTCAGTCCAGCAACATGACACGCTGCAACTACACACTGAAATAGCACAGCGAGGGGAAACGCTAACTCACATTGTAGCTGCTCAACAAGTCTCCATATGTGCAGCACAACCCAGTATGAATGCTGCCCAAGTTTCCTACACTGGCACAAAGTGAGGAAAACTGAAGTAAACAGAGGATTATGGCTGTTTTACATTTTCTTTGATCAGAGGTTACCGGCCCACCAAGCACCTCTTTGGTCCTCTACACAACCACAAGCCTTTAACTGGCAAAACATTTAGAAAAATACCTGAAGCGTGAGCTCTGACTTTGTTAAACAACAGCACAGCACTTCACTCATCTGAAGGTCAGCTCCTCTTGCACAAGACTGACTGATAACTGTCTCATACTGTGGGGGTAACACAAAGACAGAGTATTTTCTGTATTCATGATTTGAAGGTCAGGAAGAGACAGAGAGCGAGAGCGAGCTTATCTTTTATCTCAGCCCTCCGCCAGCGCTGTTATTCACTTTCATGCCAATAAAACACGGTGAAATGGACTGAATAGAAAGAGAGATGAATGTTTATTAGTACAATTGCAGATGTCTCCAAAACAGCAATTAAGAGATTCTATTCCCCACAGAGAAGCTGATTTCTCCCTGACCAGTGGGAGAACATAGACGCAGAACTGTTTTTATGGTATCATGCTGCAGATTAAATGATTATGTTCCTACTGACACCAAAGTTTCAACATCCTCTGTGCTGCTGCAGTATCAGGCTGCAATGTGACGTCACAGCAGATCTCAGCACGGCAGTAATATCTTCATCCTCCCATATGACTCTATGGTAATTATGTAGAGTAATGATCACACTGTGACCTACTCTGCCACATGCTGCTGCTTGTTTTATTTGGCCAACAGTCCAAAGATATGCAGATTTCTATCATAAAGAAAAACAGCAAAACAGTCACAACATTCTCTTGAGGATTTCCATCTTGTGATGTTTTAGCTTCATGTCAGAAGGAATTCATGCAAAACATATCAAGAGACTGTGAAATATGATGCACAATTGAAGCAATCCAACAGTATATGGGACAGTCAAGCTGCAATGGAACAACTGACAGGAGGATGATATGATGGAGGAGACACGACAGCAAGAGGCCGAGATCGTGCTGACAACATCTGCACACCATGACAAACACAAACCTCCACTCTGGGAATCCTACAGTTCCAATTTCCACAAACACGGAGGGAAGGATAAACATTATGGAGATGCGGTGAGGGTGAGGCAAAGCAAATAAATGTTGGATTAAATAAGGATGGGCGGATTGATCCCCAAAGTTTCAAGAGCCTAATGTTGTATTTTTGCTATCAAACAAAACCAAATGTACTTGTATACAAAGGCTCCTTCACAATTACATGTTGTAATCTTGTCTATTAAATGCTATTTGAAATTTTACAGTGATTAATGTGTTTAATATTTACCAGATTTTACACTTGGCTTGTTTTTTGTGGCCAAATAACATCTATATTCACCACACTAGATAATGTATGAATAAATAACAGACAATTTATCAGATTTTGCCAATGGAAGGTACAGGTATTAATAACAGCTCAGCCATGCAGAGCAACAACAAAGAGGCGACGGTGTGTTTGTACCTGTCTCGGTGTAGCGGGTACATTTTACAGCTCGTGGGCAACTCCTCTGCAGCAGGACAAGAGGAAAGAGGATCCAAGTTACAAAGTGACTTTAAACAGGATGTAAAGTCAAGTCTTTTCCACTGATGCAAGAGTATCTGTTAATACCCAGTACCAATCTGCAGATGAAACGTTTCCACACAGAACAGCTGCACAGCACAAAGGCCAAGCAGGCTAAGGTTGCTTAAAAAAAAGAAGAAGAAAAAAAAAAAAAAAACTAAAAAGAAGTTCTTTATTTTAAAAGAAACAATTATGTAATTTACTCAAATACAGTACACTACTGAAATTACAGCTCCACTTAAAAATGCTGCCTCAGCACATAGATCACGCTGGAAGTTGTTGAGAGACTGAAACAGGAGGCTTCTCTAAATGTGATCAAGAAATGCAAACACCGGCTTCTCCTTTTCTACCTTCAGCATCCCAGAAATCAACAGCATGACGCTTGCTGTCTTACAGTGCATTCTGGTGACCCTCTTCTATTCAGAAAATATCACGTGACCACACTGTATTTACCAGGTGTTTGCCTTCAGGCGGTCGTCACCTTCTGATATAACTCGGCTGGATGAATGGAAACGCTACTGCAGCTTGTGATTAATGGAAGCTGAACATGAACTCCACTTTGTTAGCAGCCTGAGGATCACTATCGCATTGAGACTGTCTTTCCACTGAGTTACATATTCAGTTTGCACAGGGGCCCTGAAGGGATCAGCAGACATGGATAAGTACTTTAATGTAATATGTACACAGTTTACGAGCACCTGTACATCCAACACTCGCTCTGTTTATGGACTTGAGGTGGCTGTTAATCAAGGCTTTCCTCTTCCTGGTGCTCACTTCTGTCAAGAGGACAGAAGGGCTGCAGGTTGTCTCTGCGTATCAGGAGTTGAATAGGTGGTGCCTGAGAGTAAATCCAGGTCCTTTCTGATTTTTATGTGGACAAGGTGATTGAATTGTGAGTGATACAGTATGTTCAGTCAGGACATAAATGTCTCAAACACAAGACATAAACAGTACAGCTGTTTGTGTCAGACCTTCTGTCAAACAGCTTTCCTACTACTGTACTGCAGATGTTAAACCTAAGTGCTGCTGTGCCACTGACATCAAACATGACATTTGAAAGGGCACAGTCTATCTGAAGTTTTCTGCCTCTGGCACGATGCCAGTCTGACTGAGACACTGCCACTTCGCCTCTCACATTCACATTTATAGATTTTACTACTCTGTGTTTTTGCAATGTATCTCAAACAGTCTCCACATATGAAATACATAAGTAGTACATTATGACGGAGAATGTAAGGTTACATATGTAAAAAACTGATCTCTGAGTAAAGTTAGAAGTTACTCAAAGACCTATTTGTTTAAAATTTGATGCACAGGTGCTCAATAGCGGTGTGAAGTCAATTCACTGACAGTTTGTCTTTAAGTCTTTGTTCATTTAAAACACAGATTCATACTGGATTCTCGGGCATTTAACACATTACTGGTTGTTTGAGGGGAAGGCTATGCATTTAGAAAACTGACTTTATGAGTTTGGGATGACACTGAACACACCGTTAGTTTCTGTGTCTCATTTGAGGTGGAGGCAAAGGTTCAGCCTGGCCTTAAAGGACAGTTGAAGATGACACCATCTTTGAGAGATCCAGCCACTGTCTGGGATGCAGCTGTTGAGGCAATCTGAGCAATAACCAGGTGAGCACCAGCATTTTGTCTCGTCACTGTGCAGTTTTACTGGTCTGAAGAATTGGGACATCCCAGTAATCCCACCTGATCTTCATAAGTAGCTTAAGTCGTACATAAATAGACAATTAGACCATAAGAAAATAGCACTGAGCACCTAAAATATTATCTTCTGATATATTATGGTGTGTTAAATTTGCCTGCAGTGATCATTTCTTTTCATTGTCACGGTTAAAAAAGAGTAGGAGCAATGACTGACCTTCCAAACAATATTCCAGTTAACCCATATTAACACTCACTTACTGTGCTCTTCAAATATTTTGAGTGGCATGGCAATTTAAGTGTCACTAAACTGCCTCTATGGGGAGAGACTGACAGCAGAGCCCTCTAGTATTGTGAGGAGGTTGGCATGTGTAATTCAGCACAGGCACACAAAGATAATGAGTGTGAGCTGGACACCGGGAGCTCCCCAGAGCAAACCCACCCAGAGTCCCCTGCACAACAACTGCCCTGGATGTGGTCCAAGCTCTACGCTCTGTGTGCGTGTGGCTGATGCAAACAGAGGACTGGATCAGACGACATGAAATCACAGTAACTGAAAAAGGCAAGATGGACCTCTGTCTGGATGTTTAATAATATGACCATAAAGTATCATGGTCGATTTTAAACAAACCAAACATCCACCGAGTTAAATGCAGCGCAGTCACGATCTGTCATCGACCTTCTCACGGTCACAGCTATCATTCCGGTGGAAATGGACAACAGACTTCTGGTGAAACTAGGTCAAGCTCTACGTTTCACAAATAAAAAGATTCTGTCTCTGTAATAAAAAAAAACAACGCAGTGTCACGTGAAATGTTTCTGATCGACTGATCCAAAAATGCTTTAAGGTAAAAAAAAAAAAAAAAAATGCTAAACCGGATCAAACATAAGCTCAGAAACCAGCTAATCACCACAAAGTTCACTTTTTATGCATTTCAGCATCTGAACAAATCACTTCCAGACAGCAGGAGCGGGGGAACTGTAAAAAGACACAAAGCTGCAACTTACCCCATGCTCCGAGGATCTGAATGCTGTTTTGGGGGACTGATTACACTCAGTAACTCTTTTTCTTCTTACTCCTCCAAAGTGATTCTTTTCTTCCCTGAAATCCTGAACTTTTAAGTTACATTTCTGGGGTAAGAAGACAAATCACTTCCGACTCCACATTCCCCGTTTCCCCTCCAGGCAGCACTCCTGTCCTCTCAAGTCAGTTGTACTCCAACCGGTCTACCTCCCTTTGTCTGCGGATTTTCACGGCGAGCAGCACCGCGGATCTCTCGTCCCCGTGCGTAACTGCGCACCGTGGTCCGTTTGGCTCAGCTGTGCGGGCCGGACAGACGGAGGGGTATCGATGAATCTCGGCGGACAGAATACTTTTAGCTCAACCCTCCACCGGGACTTGTGTGCTGGGCTTTCCTCCTGCTTCTGTGCCAGAAAACACTGGGATCCCTTTCAACTCTCTCGGTGGGACCGTGGAGCCTCCTTGGCGCCATCTGATGACCACAATGCCAAACTACAAACAAACCCATCCTAATGTGTCAGTGTGAAATACAACACGTGGAAATGGCCTGCAGACAGCCTCTTAAGCACCCCTCGGTGCGTATTTATTGTGCGCAGTAATAAAAACTAGAAGCAACTGAAATTACTGAAGAAAGCGCAGAAGCCAAATAGCTTAGAACAAGCTTCAGCAACTAATAGATAGATAGATAGATATTAATCCCCTCAGACATGTAAAGTTTTAATATCTGAAAATGTACAGAAACGAGATTAATACAAGCAGCCCTTATTTGAAATATGGATATAAAGAAAGAATATGCCAATTGGCAGTATTATATATTACTCTCAGAAGGGTCTGGAGCATATTTCAGAATATTTTTCAAAAAAAAAACTACTTCTGTTTATCTCACTGATAGTCACATAAGGACAGTAAGGCATTTCTTATAAGCTGTAGTAAACCTGATTAATACTGCCCAAAGACAAGACAAAAGACCTCTAAAATACCCTACAGAATCAAATCAAACTAGACAAATGCATTTCCTGAAGAAAATGTGTGTGGATGCTGATTGCTGAAGAATTGGCCTGAAAATGCTGGTATGACTTCATCATGCCTTTTTCTGTGTTGTGATCTGCCGCTGTATAGAAAATAAAATTAACTTCACCTTCAAGGGGGGGCAGGACACTAATATTGTTGCAAATAAGATACAAAACACTGACACAGTGACATTCATATATCTTTCTCCCAGAGCCTCCAGTCCTACTGGGAGTGCTGGTGTTAGGGCCCTTCATGTAC